TGTACAGTTGCTATTTGTACAGTTGCTATTTGGACAGTACAGCTTCTGTTGGATCCAAAGCAAGAATGCCTGTTCATCCCGTAAAACTTTGTCCATTGCATCTTTCATCCTGTTCAGTATTACTTTACATAGGATCTTGCTAGCTACAGGCAGCAAGGTAATCCCTCTTCAATTTTCACAGCAGCTAAGGTCTCCCTTTTGGGCAGTTTAATAAGTAGCCCTTTATTATGTTTTGTTGATTTTTTTCTCAGTAGGCCTCTAAGTGACCTCTAAATTTTATAATTAGGTGCCAGCTGGTGCTTTATCGAGAGACAAAAATAGTTGCGAATGCAAATTTTTAGTCGCCAGACATTTTTTAAGGAGCCAACTTTAAATGTTGATAGTAATCAATATAGAGATGTGTGTTTACTAAAAAAAATCCAAAAAGGTGACCAAGAAAAGACACACGTCCACTGCTAAATAATGTCCTACTCTTTAAATATTTTTGAGTATTTTCTATTCTCTTCTTTAGAAAAATAAAAATAAAATTTGAAAAGTTCCACAATTTGACGATCACCAAGTCAATTTAAAAATGTCGCAAATTTGGCAACAAATGAAAAAAAAAGGCACCCATCAAACATTTTTAGCTAGGCGCCATAAACGACTAAAATGGACGACAATTAAAACATTTATTTAATTAATACATGTAACTTTTAAACGAGAATTCACTTTTATATTCTCCTCTATAACTAAACGCATCACAGTGGCATAGCATCGTTTTTGAAAGGGGGGAGGCTAGCCAGCGAAAAAATTGTTTTTACTTACCTGAAAAAGTTGACAAGCAAAAAAAAAAGGAAAAGAAAAAGGAGAAAGTTGCCCAAAGTTGAAAATCCTATTTCGTGGGGGGAGGGGGGTAAACTGTTCAGTGTCAACTACTTTCAATACCAATTCTAATACTACATTTTCGATACATCACTAAAAGTGGGGTGGCAACCAGGCTTTCAATTAACATTTTCTATAGTATAAGTTAGGTTGGGAAAAAAAGCGGGGAGGGGCCAGGCCCCCCTGCCCCCTCCCCCCCCCCCCCCGTTGCTACGCCCCTGCATCAGGTGGTATGCCATCCAGTCATCCAGTCAAGCTGCTTTATCATTCTTCAATGATTCTAAGGCTTTCTTGTTTCCTTTTTTCTCTCGGAATCTTCAGCACTTTTCATAACCGGGTCAACCTCCTTCTGGACTCCAGCCTTAATTGATGTTAAATCCTAACCAGCAACGGTTTAGGAAGGCAGAGTCCCGAAAGTCATTGGGCCGATCATGCATATGTTTGATATCCACCAGGATCCTATTAAATTCTGCAGTGAGAGGTTAACCAACTAAACCACTCTTTCACTCCTCTGTTGACCAGTGACCAATTATTTACGAAAGCTTTTATTTCACCCCTCTTGGAAACTGTTTTGCCTGTATAAATACAACAGAGAAGACACAACTCGTCGGAATTTCTCTTTATTTTACTATCCATTTTATATTTTAAACAACTTCATTCAACACAATAAATAGTACAAGAAATATTAAACATATAAAATATGTTTTCCTGTAAAGAAAATGAGCCAGCTGAAACTTAACAATCTGAAACTTAGCTTTTATTAAAAGTATTTACGAAAGCTTGTAAAAATCTCTTACCTGTATAAATGAAATACAACAGAGAAGACACAACTCGTCGGAATTTCTGACGAGGAATCTCTTCCAGTCGCATTTATACTACTTATATGTAAGAGCTCCGCCCTGACCATATATATGTTATTTTATCAAAATTTTCAGCTACAAACATCAATTTGCAACTTGAATTTTTACTTATATTTCTGTACGTCTTAATACGTTTGACTTTTGAAATACAATTTAAAATTCATATTAAACGCAAAATCTTTACTTGTTATCATTTTGTTGATAATTTATACCGATGGTTGACCATTCGCCTGTTACGTTCATCACACTCGTGCACACACTCTCACTGCATTTCTCAGGTGATAAGTTCACTCAGCATCTTTGACTATTTTTATCTGATACTAGGAACTATCTACCCCCTCGCGTCCTACCGTTTCTCTCGCACACTTATTTCTGTTATTTACATATATCTATTTTAAAGCATTTCTTGTTATGATACTAGGAGGTGAATATCCTGTCGTTTCTCTCACACACTAATCTCTGTTAGGTATCTATTTTTATGCAATTTTTGTTATGATAATACTGTCAACCTTTATGTTAAGGTCTTCCTCTGGTTACATGCTGGTGGTAGGGTTTCCGGTTGGTCTGGTCCTGGCTTCTTAAGGATGGTAGTTAAATCCATTCCACCTTTCCATATATACTATAACATGACAGCTTACCGCATTGGGTAATGTGTTGGAGTTTGGTAATTGTAAATGTGTTGGAGTTCAGAAAAAAATATATTTTCAAAGAAATTTTTAAGCTTAGGACTAAAAGTGTCAAAATTAAAATCTAACATCTGTATTGATTTTATACAACTTTGCCAACATTTTTTTTATTTTCACTGGCCAACCCAGTATCTTCCAAGTAAGCATTCTTGAGTAAGACATTGCAATTATTATTTGATTTTGTTAATTTTTCCAATTTGGAATAATATTTGAAAACATAGCTGGTAAATTTTGGTATGTACAATGAAAACACCTAATTCAATTTTTGTTGCTAAGTTTTATGCTTTACTATTCACACCTAAGATGTAGTTATGTTAATCAGGATACCAAAAACAGCAGCTTTACAACCTACAGCTTACTTAACACCATTCCTCCACATATGAAACTTGTAAATTTATTACCTTATCATTTGTCATTTGCAAAATTATTTTGTTAAAAAACCTTCTGATTGTACACACAAGCACTTTAATGTTGATATCAGAAAGATGCTTGTTATTTGAGACCATGTCTCCCAACAATTTATTGGTACATGTATATTTCCATGACAACCAATTGCGACCCGTTATTACCGGACCTATATTTGTATTCATATGAAGCAGAATATGTGCAAAAATCTAATGCGTGAAAAGAAAAAACCACTTGCTGTGGCAACTCGACATTTAGATATTTCGACGACGTATTGTCAATTAAAAATGGTAATTTCCATTCTTATGTCGATAAGATATATCCTGGTGAGCTTGAGATAAAAGATACCACAGAGTCTGACTTATAAATAAAATTGTTTCATATTTGGATATTTTACTTGAAAAAGATGTTTATGGTAACCAAACTCTATAATAAACGTGATGAGTTTATAAAATCTCAGATGATTCGATACGCAAGAGCATGCTCTAAGTATGAACAATTTCTCAAACGAGGGAAATTATTGACAAACACGTTGATGAAACAAGAATATCAACAGTCTCGTTTAAAATTATCATTTCGTAATTTTTATGGTCGATACAATTACCTTATCTGCAAATTAATATAATTTATCATTGAGTCAAATGATGAGTGACGTTTTCATACGAGGGTTGTTCGAAAAACTCGTGGACATCTCTTTTTTTTAATTGATGTCGTGTTATCCAAATTTGGTAGAAATATTTTAACAATAAATTCAAATGATTTGTATTAATCGTACTTATTGCTAGTCCATTATTTATACACTGATATGACGATCATGACTTTGAGCACACGGTGGGTGTGACCAATCGGCAGGGGATTCCAATTATAATTAATGTATTTTCACTAATTATAATAAATAGATCTCCGCCCTAACACCAGATCCCCCGACCCAGGGGCCATAAAATTTTGGAAGGGGCATTCTTGCTCATTATAATCATGAACCTAGTTAGTTTGTCTTATACCCAGGAGCAGAGAAGAAGATTTTTTAACGAATTTTTGCATTTTCACTATATAATCAATATAGCCCCACCCTCAGATCAGAACCCCTGACCCTGGGGCCATGAAATTCATAGTTTTGGAAGAGGCAGCCTTATTCATCATGTATTGGTTATTAAGGTAATACCAGGAGCAGAGGAAAAGATTTTTAAAGTATGAATGTATTTTCACTATGTAATCAATTGAGCCCCGCCCTAACATTAGAAATCCCAACCCAGGGGCCATTAAATTCACAATTTTGGAAGAGACATTCTTGCTCATTATAACTATGCATTAACTAGTTACCCAGGAGACGAGAAGAAGATTTTCAAAGAAATCATGCATTTACACTATAAACATGTATATTTCCCAATTTTGGAAGAAGCAGCCTTATTCAACATAACTATGTACTTGGTTCGTTTGTTTCATGCCCAGTTGCAGAGATTTTCAAAGAAATAATGCATTTTCACTATATAATCTATTTAGCCCCGACCTAGCACTAGCTAGAACCCTTGACCCTGGGGCCATGAATTTCACAATTTTGGTAGAGGACTCAATCCTGATTACAATCATGCAAACAGTTTACTCAGTGACTTAAAAAAAAAGTATGGGCGCTATCTTAAGATATGTAACATTATACATGTTATATAGCTAAAATTTATAAATCATAAAACACTTGAATAAGCATTCTTTTCTAAGTCAGGAGGAAGAATTTATCTATATGAAAAGAACCGGGATGAGGGGGAAGGGGAGAGCGAACATGTTAGATATTCAAAATTATTTTTTTTAAAAATTGTTTACACAAACTTCATTCATATGACAGCAGCAAAAATATTAACCATAATTGCAGTGCATGAGAGTGAATGCCTCATCAAGTTACATGTGGTATAGGAGGAGTTGCGGATAAGAGAAGGGTACCCCAAAGCGTAACAGACAGACGGACGGACGGACATCCCGATCAATACATATACCCTCCTTTTTTTCAAGCAGGGGTATTAAAATCCATTCTGATATTGAATGTGTACAAATTTCTGAAAAATCGTTCAGGATTTTCATCCCCTTATGATTACATGTGTCTCCGTCTCTTTTCAGAGAAACTGAAGCTTGCTTTACATATGTGTATCAATTTCTCTTGTAAAGTACTAAATTTTACACAATCCCTCATAATAAAAGTAATTCAAACATAGAAGTCCATGATTTTATTTAAAACATGCTTATCACAATTTAACATCTTTTCTGCCCATACTACGAGCTCTCCCATGGAACCAGCGATGGCGCCTGCTGATGTGGTACCGGCTTATATGTCTGGTTCTGGAGTCGTGGGTGGTGCGGTGGTGACAGAAATGGGTCCACCTAAGGTGGTGGTGGTGCTAGTGAATATCGGCGTTGATGGCCTTATGGGTGCTCCTAACGTGGTGACCGTTGGAGCGGGCGTTTGGTCTAACAAATGAATAAAGTATTTAGAAAGAACATTTACCAATGAAATGTATATATACTGAGCAAAATAAGTTTAGCAATTGTTTTTCCTTAGGTATAATTTTAAAAAATATTTTTCGAAATTGTTTTATTTTGTTTCTACATAAAATCAATATAGAAAAAGGTAACAAAAGACACACTTCATTATTTAACTTGACGCGCAGAAACCGCGTCGTCCAACGTTATGACAATTCAACAAAACAAAAGAGTACCCACGAACGGACATAGTCCTGGAAGAATTTTTTACTTGAATAGCATTTAGAGCACGCTTGTAAATGAAAACCGGTGAAAAATTGCAAAAACGTCACATTGGGAAACGTCCAGGACTTTTCAAAAATAAATGTCGAACGACTATAGAGATACTAACGCCGGCTGCTCACAAAGAAATGTTGCTGAAAACTTTCTTGTGCATCCGTTCAACATATGTTGACTTTTAAACCCATACAGTACCATTTGACATGTTAGTAATTGTCAGCGTTCACGAAAAACGACGGTTTGACAAAATCGTTTTACTGCATGTTACAACGTCGAGACGTAACCGTTTCAAGGCTGCTTCTAAAGTTGCAGACGAATTACGCCGTGCAACTGGACTGACCCTTCTCCGTTTCAAGATTCCTGAATCCGCCACTGCTTTCTTATGAATATCGGGATAAAAATTCACTTACTGTATTCGCAAACGTATGGATAGTTTTCATGCACAAGGCCTAGTGGATCCAACTTAACACAGGGATAGTCGTGCCAGTGACCGGAGTCCGAATACTTCAGCAGGACGCAATCTTCCTCTACCAGATGAAGGCCTCCTCCCGTCAAGGTGTCCAAAAGAAAACGTTTTCTACCGACACCGGGTAACTCCACCACTCCGGGCTGTCCCGGTGCCCAGTATGTGAAAGACGATGCCTCTCCTGAAAGTTGATGCTGACTTTAAAGGGACATGAACATAGTTTATATTGAATTTTTTAAATTCAATTTTAATTGTTTAATTACAATTTCTAACCAAGGTATCATCTAATGATCAGCAAAAAAATGAACATCATTTGTTGATTAACAAACGAGATACAGAACTTAAAGTTCTTCATAATGTAGACAAGGCTCGTGCCTTGTTATTGTTTACATTTAGAAAATATCATATCTATAACAAAATAATATTCGGCAAATCACTAGAAACTGCAGAAATTGTATTTAGAATTATTTATTCTTTATTGAAATTACCTGCTTTGAACGAACATATATTATTATATTAGCCTATGTAAACAAAACCATGAAACGGACTCGTATACATAACAAAAGTTTGGAGCTCTATATCTGTCTGGTTTGAACATATTTTATTGTTAAGATGTTGCAACAAAAGGATTGGACACAAGTACTTAATACTTAGAAAGTCCTCTTCTTGATCTGTCTCGTATCTCGATAACTGATACTCAAACTTTTGATGATTGGAAAGACCTTACAGGTTAAATATTTGATGAGGTGGAAAAATAAATTTGAAAATTTTAGCTGAAAATGTGTCCATGTCCCTTTAAAGCTTTTCTCTGTCATATGAAATGATTAAATTTGTCAAAATAGATATCATGTGCTCAGACTTTATATTAATGTAGAGGCAAATGAATACTTTCATATCTAGGAACTATTTGAGATTTTCATAAATTATTCTTTATGATTCAGTCTGAAAACGTATTAGTAATATTAGTTAAATAAGATGTTTAAAACAATATATCTACCATTAATCCAAGTGAATTTCCCTTCCTGTTGGAAAGGAAAAAGAAAATATTAGTAATTCATGTTTAAAACAATATATCTACCATTAATCCAAACTTTCAGTTAATCCAATCCAAACTCCCTGACCATGGAAAGGAAAGGATCTCAATGCAGACATGATGAAGAATTGTTCTTTTATATTATTGACGACAGTCAGAGTTCCTCCTCTGGAACTGCAGTCATTTTCTGCCGCGGTCCATTCCACATGCCGATGGATCTTGAACTCGTAACAATGTCCATTATATGTCTTCAGAAATGTAGATCGCTGGAGATTTGGAGGGCAAAACTGTAGCTCATCGCCCCCATCTTCAAACAAAAATATTAAATAAACGCAAAATTTTTATGTTATTTTGATTTTGTTTTCACTAATGGATTCTTCGTCAAAAGGGTAATTATCTGTAGTGCGGTGGTGACAGAAATGGACCCACCTAATGTGGTGGTGCTTGTGGGTATCGGCGTTGACGGCCTCATGGATGTTCCTAATGTGATGAGTGTTAGAACGGGAGTTCGGTCTAGGAATGTTCAAGTATTTAGAAAGAACATTTACCAATGAAATGTATATACTACATTTTTATGTAAAATCAAAATTATTTTAGTAAACTCCAAATTAATTTAATTAACAAGATTCGTGAATTCGTCACTGCTTTCTTTTGAAGATTGGAACAAAATTTCACTTACTGTATTCGCAAACGTATGGATAGTTCTCATGTACAAGGCCTAGTGGATCCAGCTTAACACAGGGATAGTCGTGCCAGTGACCTGAGTCCGAGTATTTCAGGAGGACGCAGTCTTCATCTATCTGATAAGGGCCTCCTCCCGTCGGGGTGTCCAAAAGAAAACGTTTTTTACCGACACCGGGTAACTCCACCTCTCCGGGCTGTCCCGGTGCCCAGTATGTGAAAGACGACGCCTCTCCTGAAAGTTGATGTTGACTTTAAAGGAACATGGACACCGTTTCAACTGATTTTTTTAAAATTCAATTTTAATTGTTTACAATTCCTAACCAAGGTATCATCTAATGATCAGCAAAAAATTGAACATCAGTTGTTGATTAACAAATGATCGAATTACAGAACTTAAAGTTCTTCATACTGTAAACAAGGCTCGTGCCTTGTTATTGTTTACATTTAGAAAATATCATATTTATAACAAAATAAAATTCGGCAAATCACTAGAAACTGCAGAAATTGTATTTAGAATTATTTATTCTTTATTGAAATTACCTGCTTTGAACGAACATATATTATTATATCAGCCTATGTAAACAAAACCATGAAACGGACTCGTACACATAACAAAGGTTTGGAGCTCTAGAACTGTCTCGTATCTCGATAACTGATGTTCAAACTTTTGATGATTAGAAGGACCTTACAGGTTAAATATTTGATGAGGTGGAAAAATAAATTTGAAAATTTTAGCTGAAAATGTGTCCATGTCCCTTTAAAGCTTTTCTCTGTCATATGAAATGATTAAATTTGTCAAAATAGATATAATATGCTCAGACTTTATATTAATGTAGAGGCAAATGAATACTTTCATTTCCAGGAACTATTTGAGAATTTCATAAATTATTCATTATATTTCAGTCTGAAAACATATTAGTAATGTTAGTTAAATAAAATGTTAAAAACAATATATCTACCATTAATCCAAGTGAATTTCCCTTCCTGTTGAGCATCAGTTAATCCAATCCAAACTCCCTGACCATGGAAAGGAAAGGATCTCAATGCAGACATGATGAAGAATTGTTCTTTTATATTATTGACGACAGTCAGAGTTCCTCCTCTGGAACTGCAGTCATTTTCTGCAACGGTCCATTCCACATGCCGATGGATCTTGAACTCGTAACAATGTCCATTATATGTCTTCAGAAATGTAGATCGCTGGAGATTTGGAGGGCAAAACTGTAGCTCATCGCCCCCATCTTCAAACAAAAACGCAACATTTTTATGTTGGTTTGATTTTGTTTTCAATAATTGATTCTTCGTCAAAGGGGAAATTATCTGATAAAATTAATATGATTGTCTATCGCTTATACATGTAGTTACACAAACTTTGCTAGCGCTGTTAATCTGATACATCTATTGAAAAACTACAATGGTTCCCTGTTTTTCAACACCTTTTGGGACAAATGTTTATATATTTTTATTTTTTAACAATATTTAAAAGTATCCCCGTAGATATAATTGCACCTTTCTATGATCATCTGTAAGTCTGCTCTTTTGAGAGCAGGAATATAAACTGTAGAGAACTTACTATACAAACGTCTAAGGAAAAGTCTTATCAAATAATACAACTCTCTGTCATCATTGAGCTTTCAGTGAGTAGTGCCATTCTCGAAGGTGCATAATTAGCGTCTTTTTATTGGTTAAGAAATTAATAACATCAATCAACTTTAAAATTGCTATTGACGGCGATGAGATGGCTTAAGCCCCACCCTTTGCTGTGTGAAACACTCGTTTCTTGCTAAACTCGTTGCCTTTCGCCCAATTTTTATCCCATGTATATTTCAACGGTGAATGAAAGCTGTGTAAATTTCAGATGCGACTGATGTAACTTCGAGAATACCACGCCATCCTGAAATTCCAAGGATAACAGAGAATTGTACTGTTTGTGTACCAACTTAATTCAATAGTTTACACAAATGCCATGTTGCTTTGGCTATTTCAGGTCATACATTCATTATTTGGCGTTATCTTAATAGCTGAAGACTGAAAATGTAATGGTTCAAGACTGAAAATGAACAGATTACAATATCATGATAAATATTTCGATTTAAGGCCCTACGTAGCAGATATTGAAGCATAATCTCCAACAAATAAAACTATATGCTCTTCAGTTTTGTAATCGGTGAGAACTTGAATAATGTCAAGAGATTGAAATTGTAATCTCTGCGTAAATTTGATCCTAGCCAAAAACACCGTGGCCACTAAAACAAAAAGAACACTTACGCACTGTGGTGAACTAAATTAGCGATAATACCAAAATCCACATTGCGTAATGAAGAACCAACTACGTACAAATGTATTATATCTATGATCTCTTAGATCATTTTCTTATCAGTATAGCTTAGTGGCCTTAAGTTCTGAATATTGAAAACGAAATCATATTATTTTTTCTTTATGGACTGTTTTGTGGAGAGACCCTCTTCACCATTCTAGATTTCGTACTGGAAATCCTTGCCTAAGGAAGATGGTATTCAGTGCTACAGTGTTAAAACTTTTTTAAAATCAGAATTCTTTCAATTTCTACCTTTGGGATGTTAATGTTATTATTTTAAGTAAATTTATGTTTTTAAAAGGGAGCCTGGAACTTAATTAATGCTAAGTATAACTGAATACCAGACACCAATCTTTAGACTCTCATCAAATACACAATAAACTTGTCCTGACTTCAGTGTCTATCAAAACCATCAATACTTTTTAAAATATAAATCGCTATTTAAACAGAATCTGATATTTCCTCAACTCACCTATCCTTTGACGTCCGTGGATGTCGTACGGAGCACCTCGGAAGACTAATCCACCACTGTCATCCATAATTCTCTGTTCTCGCTCTCTGGGATTCTGCATGCTTCAGTCCAGTCCACTCAGGAATGTTGTCTTCCCACCTCTTCTGTTGCCTTCCCTGTCTTCGTCCTCCTTTCACTATCCCGTGTAGGATAGTCTTTTCAAGACCACTTGAGCTTGAATTGTGGCCATATCACCTTAGTTTCCGCTTCCGACAGTGAGGAGGTCATCGTGATGTCATATACCGTAGCTTCTGTGACTGTCCTGTGGACCTCTGCATTAGTCACATGATCAGTGTAATGGATGCCTAGTATTTTCCTAAAGCATTTCATATCGGTGCTCATAGTCCTCTTCTCTAGCTCTGCAGTGAGAGTGCAGAGATCTCACAGGCATATAGGAAGACAGACATAGCAAAGGAACGTATTAACTGGATCTTCGATCGCAGAGTAATATTTCTTAGATCTCTTAAATATCTCTTAGATCATTTTCTTATTAGTATATTTTAGTGACCTAAAGTTTAAATATTGAAAACAAAATCATATTATTTTTCTACATGAACTGTTTTGTGAAGAGGCCCTCTACACCATTCTAGATTTCGAACTGGAAATCCTTGCCTAATGCCTAGGTCACATTTAAGCCGATGGTCTGGCGACTAAATTTTTCTGGTCTTGTCGGCTGAAAGAACAGGATCGGCCGACACAGTATCGGGCGACACCGAGCAGTCACATTATTTCCTAGGGACACCGATGACTTGGATAAATAACACAAAAAATCTTTTTTCTCTAGAAATCAGCAATATTTTTTCATAGATCTATATTCAGATAGGTGACGTGAGTAAAGTTCGCAATTGCAAGGCAAAGTGGCAGAATCTTATAAGATTGTGACTCAATGTTGAAAATGTGTGTAAAATTTGTATTGAATTGCATAAAAGCGACAAATGGTGCATATCTAAGCAGCAAAGAATACTTAAGATTTCTTTATATCTTACAGATTAATTATTTAAGTTATCTCCGTTCAAAAAATTTAAATCAATCCATGCATCAAAATTTTGTTTGTGTTATGTATCCTTACTATGGTTAAATATTCACAAGTCGGCCAATTGTCGCCCGTTCATCGAGCTCTGAGCTACAGTTTGATTTTAACCGTCGGCCGAAATTTTCAACACCCTTATTGTCTAACGACGGACGACCGACTTAATAAACTGACAGCCGATGGTCGGACGATGATCGAAGGTTGGTCGACGAATAACTGCACTTGAAGAAATCGGCCACCGACGCATGAAAAATTATAACTTGGACCGATGGACACAAAATTGGTCGGCCGACAAAAAAATAGGTCAAAATCGGCCATGACAACGGCCGATGAACTGACGACTGTCACCCGCAGAATCCCATTTTTGCTTCAAAACCCGTCGGCCGTTGGTCGTTTTTGGAAATGTGACTGGGGTTTAAGGAAGATGGTATTCAGCGCTACAGTGATAAATCTTTCTTTTTAATCTGATTTTTTTATTTCTACCTTTGGGATGTTAATGTTATTATTTTAAGTAAATTTATGTTTTTAAAAGGGTGCCAGGAACTTAATTAATTCTAAGTATAACTGAATACCAGACACCAATCTTCAGACACTTATCAAATACACAATAAACTTGTCCTGACTTCAGTGTCTATCAAAACCATCAATACTTTTTAAAATATAAATCGCTATTTAAAACAGAATCTGATATTTCCTCAACTCACCTATCCCTTGACGTCCGTGGATGTCGTACGGAGCACCTCGGAAGACTAATCCACCACTGTCATCCATAATTCTCATAAATTTCTGTTTTCTGTCGCTCTCTGGGTTTCTGCATGGCTCAGTCTAATCCACTCCGGAATGTTGTCTTCCCACCTCTTCTGTTGACATCCCAGTCTTCGTTCTCCTTTTATTTGTTGTAGGATAGTCTTTGCTTTACTTAACAATATTTATCATCACACCTATTGAAAATCATTCTTCCAAAAGATATTGTTCTATTGGGTATAAATTCTAATTAATAACTTTTTTAGCTTTTCTGATCAAAATTTGTCCGTCGTCTGTCGTCGTTGTAAACTTTTTACATTAGCATCTTCTTTTCAAGAACCATTGGGCCAATTTCAACCCAACTTGCCACAAAGTATCCTTAGGTGAAGGGGATTCAAGTTTGTTCAAATGAAGGGGAGGTAATTCAGAAAAAGTGAAAATTTTGTAAATATGTTTTTAAAATCTTCTTCTCAAGAACCACTGTGCCAGGAAACTTGAAACTTTTCGGGAAGCATCCTCAGGTAGTGTAGATTCAAATTTGTTCAAATCATAACCCCCAGGGGTAGGGCGGGCCACAATGGCAGATCTAAGTTTTACATAGAAATATATAGGAATAGTCTTTAAAAATTTTGTTTATTGTTTAAAACCTATGACATTATACGAGGATGGAGTAACCTTTAAAATGAGGAAAAAAAAACTTATGTTCCTTGTTCCCATGGATGAAAAACCTAGCACATAACACCACCAGTCAAATTCCAAAAGATGACTGGACCAATGTTAAAATGAAAGAGAAGTTTGAGGAAGAAAATACTGTACAAGACAAACATTACATGTTTCACTCTACCATTTTTTCAAAGTTTAGTACGCGGGAAAAAATTAAACTTAGTCAGTGACGTAAATTCTGCCTTCATAATTTTTTTTGGAGGGAAACATAAATAATTTAAAAAAATGAATGTGAGGGTAAATCCAGGTTTATTGCAAATTCTCCTTTAATGGAACGTTTAATAGAAAGTCGGCGATAATATTTTACATAAAAATACATTTAACCGTTACAATGTAATGCACAATCTTTCAAGATTTAAAGAGTGGAAAAGGTCGGCGATTGCGACATTTATTACATATGCGTTTTCCATTGCATGCAGATATGGATTTTTCTAAACTTATAATTTCTCAATTGAAAATGATGGCCTATTTCATATTCTGACCCTCTGAACAGGTTCACGTCTTGAAGCAGGATAAATTCCATTCTTCCGACGAGGTATTGAATGGATTACTGATCATATGTACCTAAAAGAACATCTACTTTTCTCCAGCATGCTTCCTTGGCAGTTACATACACTGTGAAAATAAAGCGAAGATAGTGGGGGGGGGGGGGGGAATTAAGAACTTAAAGCTACCGTTAATCACAGAATGGTAACTTGTCATACAATTTTACAGTACTATAGTTTTCTTTCCTTCATTCATTGTTTAAAACCATTTTTTTTTCATTAAGCAATTCCATGAAATGAAATGGTTTGTGCTAAGAAGTAATGTAACTGTTATGAATTCAATAAAGTTCAAACTCCTGATGGTTAAATTTTCACTTAATCTTTAGGTGTTTTACGGTGTAAGAGGAAGTTGTGGTAATAAGATTTTTCCTCGTTTATATAGTGACTGATACACTTTGGAATATAGATCTACTAAAATGTAGGACTTGTAATTGAAGTTATTATAGTATTACATCAATTTACATTGTATTCTTCAATTGTGATAAAGTTCATCGTTTAACATAAATGTTTCGAAAATGTATATTAAGGTTACAGTGCGTAATACCTTTAGGTTTTAAAAAAATGTATTCAGAATTTATTTCAAAATTGCTTCAAATATCTAACTGTGCCTTTTAACATAACATTAAATACATTTCAATATCATGTATTCATTTTTTCCAGATATGTAAAGTTAGCTTCTAGTAACTGGCTACTAGTAGCTGGCTACGACAAGTGGTAAAGTTAGCTACTAGTAGCTGGCTACGAGAAGTAAGTAAAGTTGGCTACTAGTACCTGGCTACTAGTAGCTGGCTACGACAAATGGTAAAGTTAGCTACTAGTAGCTGGTTACGAGAAGTAAGTAAAGTTGGCTATTAGTAACTGGCTACCAGTAACTGACTTGAACATTCTAGTACCTTTTGTATTAAATTATGCTAATTTGGGAGAAATTATCTGGCACTAAAGTTACCAAGATATCGTTATTAATAAACTCAGCTACTAGTACCGTTAAAAGTGTGCAATTTTGGGAGATAAATGTTGTTATTATACAAGTAACTGGATTTTTACACCGCTGATATCCACAGATATTGTTGATTAAAACAATCTCTGAGCTTTTCCACATGATCTGGCACTAAAATTAACAAGATATCGTTAGTAATAAACTCAGCTACTGGTACCTTTTGTTTAAAATTATGCAATTTTGTGAGACAAAAGTTGATATTCCAGCTGGATATTTACACCGCTGATATCAACTGATAGTGTTGATAAAAACAAAATATCGTTATTAATTTCAGCTACACCGCTGATATCAACTGATAGTGTTGATAAAAACAATCTCTGACCTTTTCAACACCTTTTGTTTAAAATCTATGCATTTTTAAATAACCTGGATAAGATATCGTCAGTAAATTTTTAAAAAATAAACTCAGCTACTGGTACCTTTTGTTTAAAATTATGCAATTCTTGGTGACAAATGTTGATATTTTTGAACTAGCTGGATTTTTCATCGCTTATATCCACT